ATAATATACGTTCCAAATTATCGTGTTATTACCCTGGTACACAGGGATTGGCTCTGAAAGAAATCTATTCAAGCACAGGATTTTAGTCCCATATCCTACTTTCTCCAGGAATCTATAGCATTTTCATAAAAATAAGCTGTTGTACCTGGAAAAGTATAGGTGACTTTCACTAGATTTTTTTTTTTTTTTTTTGAGACAGGGTCTCCTTGTAGCCCCAGCTGGCCTGGAACTTGCTATGTAGACCAGGCTGGCCTTAAACTCACAGAGATCCACCTGCTTCTGCCTCCTGAGTGCTGGGAATAAAGGCATGCACCACCATGCCCCACCCTTCACTAGAGGTTTATATCAAGTTACAGTGAGTTAATATCTGTTTATATTCTCCCAAATAAGTAGGAAAACTTTGAAATGATCATGAGGGGATTTTTGCTGATAACAGGGCCAAGTCGCTGCAGACATATGTTAAGAAAAACAGTAAGATTATGTATTTACATTTATGCCTTCTCAGTCAAAGGACTGAATGTCTATAAAACAATAAGGTTTCCCATTACTAAATAATTGTTGGCACTTACAACTTTAAGATAAATGACATGCTAAAAGAGAAAAAGCATAAAATTTAATTCTGAAGAAAGGAGCAGAGACAGAAAATAAGAAAACATGGTTTTGTTACTAAGTTGTAAGAAAGCAGAGAATTCAACACTATACCTGAGGGAAAAAAATCCTAGTTAAAGAGTTACTTTATTAGGTTCCCCAACACTAACAATCAAATGCACACAAAATAATGACAGCTAAAATATAACAGCAGAAACCTTCAAAATGACCCATCCAAAATAAGATAGCTTCAAGAATAACTCACAATTATTCTAAATACATTTCTGGTCTACTTCAACAGTTTATATTTTTCATATGGCCAAACAATAATAGAATTTTTAAAATGTTGAAATTAGACTGATGATCCTTAAAGTTTAGAATTATTGCTAAAAGAGTAAAACTTAAAATTACAACGAAAA